GTGTGTGTGTGTGTGTGTGTGTGTCGTGTGTGTGTGTGTGTGTGTGTGTGTGTGTGTGTGTGTGTGTGTATTATAATATATATATATATATATACGTGTGTGTGTGGATGGATGCATGTATGTACACATGCATGTATGTATCTAGGTAGATCTCTATATACTATGTATATATGTATATATATATATATATATTATAGGCAGACTTTCACATATGTAGTACTACTCGCCCTTACTTCACATATTGATTGTTACTTCCCAACCCAATAGTAAATTACCGCCACTATCTGGCGCAGTATGTGTCACGCGCCATTCGTACATAGTTCTGTCCCGAAATCAATCGGCTCCAACTCACACTGGTGCTCTGCGGTGGTACTTAGTACAGCTTTCAATTAATTACCACTAGCTCAACTGGTGTCAATACAACAGCTGATAAGGTGTTATTAACTGACCCAAATACAAAGGTGTAGACAGCCACCAGTCTTGTCGTATGATATCGAATTACTTACCTGAACTACAAAGGGTTCAATTGGTCGGTGATGTGGTATATGCTGGTAGTATTGTATTATTGTATGCACCTCAAATGGTATCTCTACCTGTTCAAGAAGTACTATTCAATACGACCGAAAATATAGGAACGATACAAGCCAATCCCGCTAACACACACAGACAACCTGCACCCACTCACACACTGACAGGTACGAATCGCAGGGTAGTGTATCACATGCTGGTTATATCGTATGAGACCTTCCGACTGTACGCAGACATCCTGTGCAAGAAGGAAGTGGGTATGGTCATCTGCGATGAGGTATGTCACCATGTAGTAGTGGACGTTCGTTGAAGCCCCGTTTTATAGCCGTCTCCAGATATGTATATGAATGTCAACATGTATTATGTTCTAATATTATTTTGGCACAGGGTGTTCTATTTTTTATGAAAACTACATGACTCTATCGTTTTGGATCCAATTTAATTATTAGATGTCTTTGCAAAAATGTATACATGGGGGGGCATACACGCATTGGGTCACGCTTGAGCGCACATAGCTACATGCTGTGATGTTATGCATTATATATAAATATATATATATCTATATATATATATATATCTATATATATATCTATATATATATATATACTATATATATATATATATATATATATATATATATATATATATATATATATCTATATATATATATACATATATATATATATATATATATATATATATACATCTATATATCTATATATTTATATATATATATATACATGTGCAGAAGTGTATACTAAGAATGTTCTCGCAAACGCAAGGCCACCGAATATAGTATTCTCAGAATCAACCGTACGAGGTCCTGCACGCATTGTGTTATTCCTGCGAATGTGTACATAGCTATAGCTCATATTCATATACGTTGCGTATATGTATTGATGAGTGGGTTCTATACGTTGCTTTTGTAGTTCTATACGTTACATATATGTACATGTGAAATAAATAGCTACGTTCTATTTTTAAATTTATACGTTTCAAATTTGTGCATATGACGAGACATGTGTAGGTATTGAAGTTGTATATCTCGCAAACGCAGGGCCACCGACTGAAGAATTCGCAAAGTCAAACATACGAGGCTCTACACGCACTGAAAACCAAGAAGCGCATTATCGTCTCAGGAACACCGATACAAAATGATTTAACCGAATACTTCAGCTTGTTAGACTTCGTCAACCCTGGCATATTAGGTACTTCGTGATGGGTTTGTGCATATATATATATATATATATATATATATATATATATATATATATATATATATATATATATATATATATATATATATATATATATATATATATATATATATATATGTATATGTACATATAGTAAATATATATATATATCTGTATGTATATATATATATCTGCATATTTATATATATATATATGCATATATATATATATATATGTATATGTTTATATATATGTATGTATGTATGTATGTATGTATATATATATGTATATATTTATATTTATATATACATATATATATATATATATATATAAACACATATATGTGTGTGTTCGTGTGTGTGTATGTATGCATGTATATATATAATATGCATACATATATATATAAATATATATATATATATATATATATATAATACACATATATATATATATCTATATATATATATATATATATAAATATACATATATATATATATATAGGTGTGTGTGCGTGTGTGTTTATAATATATATATATATATATATATATATATATATACGTATTGATATGCATGTAAATATGTATGGAAGTATTTTTTTGTTAATGTGATGTAAGAAAGAATGTATGTATGTATGAACGTATGTATGTATTTACATAATATTGCAGTTATATTATATATATATATATATATATATGTCTTAGTCTGTGTCTCTGTCTGTGTCTGTGTCTGTATAGAAATATGTATATATATGTATATGTGTTATATATATATAGTAACTTTATATCTATATATACTTTTTTGTTTGTTTGTTTGTTTGTACATGTATATGTACGCTTTTTG